CTACATGCTGAATCTTACCTCCAGGCATTGTTATCTATCTGTAAGGGAAGCTCTTCCATCCAAGGCATTCCGGGGTGAGGCCTCAGCAGAAGATTAGCACACAGGTACCATCACATAACTGCAGGGATGTGTGGTGACCTTGTCATCTGTAAATGGGGAGGAGGGAGTGTATGAATAAAGCAAGCAAACATGTATGTAAAACGGGTTATGTGAGAGAAAAATTGACGGGAGGGTTTTATCAGAGGAGGAATGATTAGATCTGGGCCCTAAGCAGTGAGGGTCTAAAATGGGCAAACGTGGGCATGAATAAAAGCATGTTCACATGTACCTGGAGGAGGGTCAGCTGGAACGACACATGAAATAGAGCCAAAGTGAAATGCTTAGCTCTTCTCTCAATAAAAATCCCATACTGATTTTATGAAGAATTTTCCTTACCAACAGCATGACGTTTGGGACTGCTGGGGATGGAGACGACCGGAGCAGAGGGCGGGGTACCATGTACAGCAGCTCCCAGGTGGAGGCCACACAAAATGCTTTCCTTTCTCTTCAGCATTTTTCCATTTAATCATCCCTCTTCTGTTCCAAGGCCAAAACCAGCAATTACATTGGTTTTATGCTGATTTTTGTTAAAGCGTACAAAGTCTGTCAGCCCAGTTATCTCCACCCTGTTGTGACAGATGGAGAAGGAAAGCACAGCTCAGTGCAACTGAGATTTGCCCAAGGTGACCTCAACACTCCCTATTTAGGCTCACTGGACTCATGGGAGCCAGTAGATCCCAAACTAAGATCTCATCTCATCAGGGTGCATGTGCTTTGGGTTTCTCCCTCTCATTTAATTTGACCACTCTTTTGATCCTTCTCTCAAGGTAGTCATAACTTCCTTCACATTTCCTGCCCAAACTCCTCCCCACTGGGGATGAACCCAGGGGTACTTAACCACCGAGGCACATTTCCAGCACTTCTGTGTGTGTGTATTGTATTTAGAGACAGGGTCTCACTAAGTTGTTGAGGGCCTCACTAAGTTGCTGAGGCTGGCTTTGAATTCATGATCCAGCCTTCTGAGCCACTGGGATCACAGGCCTGTTCCACTGCACCTGGCCTGCCCAGTTTTTAGGAGTGCTACCCAACTCATAATTCACTCAGTCCTTAGCAATCAGAACCATGCCCCTAGTTGTCCAGTTAGAACCAAAAATCTCATGTGTTAGACCTAATAGGCATCTTTCTTCTTTCTCCTCTGTCCATAAAGTGGTACTAACAAAAATGGTGTAAGGGCTGGAGGAGCAGATGACAAACCTCAGGAGGGAAGAGACAACAAGACTGGAGAGGTCCACAGTTGGGGGAACAAAACACTTCTCCCCTTCCTCCCCTGCCTGAAACAGGAAATTGTGGGTTGATGCCAGGCGTTCTGTTACAGTTCCTTTAAACAGGTATGCACAAATCGTACGATACTGCAGCCATGCTTTCCCTGCAGACCTCTTGCATGCTGTCTAACCATTAGGGTTCAAGACTTCCTCCAGTTCCAAATACTGATTTTGGTAACATCACCTATGTAATGACAATGCATTTGAGTCCTCACTGCTCCCTCAACTGGGTGTCTTTGGCTTCCAGGCACCAAGCTCCACACCTCTAGACCAACTGGACTTGCTCCCGCTGTCACTGACCATCCTAAAACATGGGTCTGGTCCCACCACTCCTCTTCCTCACATTCTACAATGGGTTCTGCCTAGAAAATAAAAAGGGATTCCTAATATTTTCAGTTCTGTCCCTTGGCTTGATTAAATTCTGAACCTCAACTTTTCAGCCTTATTTCTCATTATTTCCTTTTTGATATTAACATTTTAAATATTTTCTAATCAGTTATACATGATAGCAGAATGCATTTTATTTCCTTGTATGCAAATGTGCAATTTTTCATTTCTTTGGTTGTACACGATGTAGAGTCGAGCCATTTGTGCAATCATACAAGTACCTAGGGTAATGATGTCCACCTCATTCCACCATCTTACTTACCCCTGTGCCCCCTCCCCCCTGCCCAATCCAAAGTTCCTCCATTCCTTCCCAGGCCCCACCCCCCATAAGCATCCACTTATCAGAGAGACATTTGGCCTTTGGTTTTTGGGGATTGGCTTACTTCGCTTAGCATGATATTCTCAACTCCATCCATTTACCTGCAAATGCCATAATTTCATTCTCTTTTAATGCTGAGTTAATATTCCATTGTGTATATATGCCAGTTTCTTTACCCATTCATCTATTGAAGGGCATCTAGGTTGGTTCCACAGTTTAGCTATTGGGAATTGAGCTGCTATAAACATTGATGTGGCTGCGTCACTATAATATGCTGATTTTAAGTCCTTTGGATATAGACTGAGGAGTGGGATAGCTGGGTCAAATGATGGTTTCATTCCAGGTTTTCTAAGGAATCTCCATACTGCTTTCCAAAGTGGTTTCACCAATTTGCAGTCTCACCAGCAACATGTATCTCCCTCCTCACCCCCCGCATCCTCACCAACACTTATTGTTGCTTGTATTCTTGATAATTGCCATTCTGACTGGATTGAGATGAAATCTTAGTTTTTATGTGTGTGTTTGTGTGTGGTGTTGGGGGCTTAAACCCAGGGCCTTGTGCATGCGAGGCAAGCACTCAATACCAACTGAGCTATATCCCCAGACCTTAGTTTTGATTTGCATTTCTCTAAATTGCTAGAGATGTTGAACACTTTTTCATATACTTGTTGACTGATTGTATTTCTTCTTCTGTGAAGTGTCTGTTCAGTTCCTTAGCCCATTTATTGATTGGGTTGTTTTTTTGGTGTTTTTTACATATCCTGGAAATTAGTGCTGTATCTGATGTGCCTATAGTAAAGATGTTCTCCTACTCTGTGGGCTCTCTCTTCATGTTATTGATCATATCCTTTGCTGAGAAGAAGCTTTTTAGTTTGAATCCATCCCATTTATTGAGTCTTGATTTTATTTCTGGCACTTAAGGAGTCTGGTTAAGGAAGTCAGGACCTAATTCGGCATGATGAAGATCTGGGCCTACTTTTTCTTCTATTAGGTGCAGGGACGCTGGTCTAATTCCTAGGTCCCTGATCTACTTTTGAGTTTGTGCATGGTGAGAGATAGTGATTTAATTTCTTTTTGCTGCATATGGACTTCCAGTTTTCCCAGCACCATTTGTTGAATAGAATATCTTTTCTCCAATATATGTTTTCAGCACCTTTGTCTAGTAAGAGAGAACTATTTATGTGAGTTTATCTTCTATTCTGTACCATTAGTCTACATGTCTATTTTGGTGTTAATACCATGCTGTTTTTGTTACTATTGCCCTGCAGTATAGTTTAAGGTCTGGTATTGTGATGCTACCTACTTCACTCTTCTTGCTAAGGATTGTTTTGGCTATTGTGGGTCTCTTATTTTTCCAAATGAATTTCATGATTGCTTTTTCTACTTGTACAAGGAATGTTCTTAGGATTTCAACTGGAATTACATTAAATCTGTATAACGCTTTCTGTAGTATGGCCATTTTGACAATGTTAATTCTTCCAATCTTCTTTTTTTTAATTTTTTTTTTTTTTAGTTGTAGTTGGACACTAGCTTTATTTATTTATTTTTATGTGGTGCTGAGGATCAAACCCAGGGCCTTGCACATGCTAGACAAGTGCTCTACCGCTGAGCCACAATCCCAGCCCCAATTCTTCTAATCTTAAGAACATGAGAGATCTTTTCAACTTCTAAGGTCTTCTTCAATTTCTTTCTTTAGTGTTCTGTAGTTTTCATTGTATAGGTCTTCCACCTCTTTTGTTAGATTGATTCCCAAGTATTTTATTGTTTTTGAGACTACTGTGAATGAGGCAGTTTCCATTATTTCTTTGTATACCCATGCCCAGGTCAAGCTGTCCCTCAATCATTGCTCAGGAGCTTTCAAATCTCCTTGCCTTCCCCTTAGTCTGCAATACCATTCCTTTCCAAGCCCTCTTCATTTTCTCTCATCACTCTCTTGCTCTTGTCCCTTCAGCATGGTACTGTTCCTCCACATAGCACTACTGCTATCAGGACTACCCTGAAGGTCATTTTTGTCTCTTTTCATTCTTAGCTTCCAGCAAAGAGTCTTCGTTATATATGCTTTTATTAATTGGTAAAATCAAGTGTAATGCCTGCTAGACAAAACCTAACCTTTAAAAAGCTTAGTTGAAGTATTTAACTGGCAACAGCTAAAAAAAAACTTTTTTAAACCACAAAATCGGTACAAATCAATCTTCATTACCTAAAGTTAATGGGCCTTTTTAGGAACAATACTTTTTAAAAAATGTAGCACCTAAATTGATAAGTAAGAATTACTCCTTTAAGACTAGGTAGGAAATCTTAAAAATCACTCAAAACCAAGTTTAAACAACACTCTCATGTCTGCCACCACATGGTTGATGAAGTGGCAGCAGTCAGGTGTGACTGGTTCACTCTCTTGGGAAAGGGACACATGAATGCAGGTGAAGGGAGGGACAGTGTGGATGCAAGGGTTATCTGGAGCCAGAGCCCATCAGAGGCCAGCAAGGTATAAAAATGCCATCACACAGAAGCTGAGCAGGCACACAGAGACACATCCTGCATACCCTCATACAGCCCACCCAAGAAAGGCACATGGAACATGTTCCAAGCTGAAATCTGTTTTGAAACATACCTATTCTATATACTTACTTTGGCCAAGGGGCCATGATGGCTGCCCTCTTGTACAGCTATGAAGAATTAGGTTGAGGACAGGGAAGTGTCTTTTTAAGATAAAGTTTCTCTGGTGATTTCAAACACCAGAAAAGCAAGAAAGCAAGTATAGATGAAGCAGAAAACTGGAGTGAAAATTCACTCTTTATAATGTGTATAAAATCCAAATCTAAGAAACCTGCCCTGGTAATAAACCTTTTATCCCAAGTCACTGGAATTCCTAAAGTAATCAAGAAAAACTTACCACAGATTTGTTTTCAATGAAAAAACTCTTAAGTTCATAATTTTCATACCACTTTTTTGTTTTTTATTTAAAATATTATAACCAATTGACATACTAGATAACAATGTTTACATTCCAGTGGTGCATGTTTAATGACTAGGGCATGAATGATTAAAAACCACAATAATGATCTCAGCATTCCCTACAAAGTGCCCCATTTTGTTTCATCTAAAGAGGCGAGGAGAGGAGAGGCGAGGTGAGGAGAGGTGAGGGAATTGGACATGGGGGGTGGGGTGGTGAAGAAGGAAATGACATGTATAGGGAGCAAAAAAAAAGTCAGTAACTATACTTAGGTTTCCAGGTTCAAAAACCTGTTGAACAGGATAAACTGTAATGAGAAAATAGATGTCACAGTCCAGGTAGACAGCTACTTCAGTTTAACTTCATCATTCGGCTAAAAGATTAACAGCTTCTCAAAAATATACCAAATATTGGGCCTACAAAAGTAATTTATTTCTTCGTAAAATTTACTAAGATTTACTCCTTTTGTAAAATGTAAAGAATGGACTGATACCACGAGCAGGTTTCTACTTACAAAAACAGACAGTAATAATGTCAACAAGCACATCTAACACAATTTTCAAGATATACAGTGAAAGATTTTACACGTGAGTGTCTCTTACTGATGCAAGGTATATATTTTACATACTTACTGGTATTTTTTCAACATTGGCTATAAAGTATTCAAAGCACATTTATAATTCACACTCAGTAAAGGTCTAACAGGGCAACAGCTTACTTGGGAAAGCATAGAAAATTAGTGTGAGGTAGTTCAATAAAAACCTAGTTTCATTTTAAGTCATTGTGAGAATAGAATATTGTGCAAAACTAATCCACAGGTAATATTTCTCAGAAGTTTCAGTAATGAAGAGAATCTAAATCAGAAATGGCCAGAAAGTGTTACTCTTACTAGACTCTCCTTAAGAGCACTTTACTAAGAGCAGTTACTTTGAAATTGACTAGGACTTTTGTTTTCCTTATGAGTTTTCCAATCTTACCCCAAACTATACATTTCTGCTTCAATGCCCTTTACCTCTTCATCTTTCTCGCTATTTTATTAAGGACAAGTTAGTTTCCTGTGAGTCAGGAAAATCCTAAAAGAGATCAGTAGAAACACGATGCACGCTAAAATGCAACAGGCTATATGGAGAGGCAACATTTAAGAGGGCTGCTAATGACAGAAGGTGGTGCTTGGTTTTCTACTTCACTGGTAAGAGAGGTTTACTGGGGTCACAGGGTGTCATGCATCCACTCTACAGCTAATGTGTGACTAATGAACAACACTCACAAACTACAACAGTATTCTTGAAAATATACTATGTTTTAACCTCAAAATGTTGTGCAGGCTAGTGCCTAGGCAACACTGAATAGTCTTCATACATGTAGCAGATACTGGCCAATAGTATTTGTAACCCAGGAAACAGCTTCACTTGCCTGCTGCTGATTTCACTACCAGACACTGATATATTCTTCATCTTATCTTTTTGGACAACCTGGCAAGATTAGCCCAGAACAGAATAACAAAAAAGCTTATAGGAAAGTCTGCTGCTTTGTACACAATCAAGCTTCTCTGTATTGTTAAGGAGGCTGCGTGACAGCTTTCTCCTTTGAGAGGCTGGTCTTTCCTAGAAAGTCTGGTGTAAGCACATTGCGTCTTTACCAACTTGGAAGAGCGCACACCAGGAGCAATCAGCAGCTGAAGGTGCGTGACACAATGAAAATTGTTCAGCAAATAGTATGAAAGAGCTTAAATGCTCTATGTATATTATAATTTAGCAATCTCAATGACATGATCAGTTTACAAATGATTACTATATATTAGAGAGTAAGAACTGTAACTAGGAAGATGAGGAATAAAGAATCAGTATCTTTTCAAATTTACAAAGTTAAGTCATAAGTCTCAGCTAAAATAATTTTCTGACAGTAAGATGATGGGTATATTAAGTGTATAAAATTGAAAAACAAAATAAGAAAGTGGCTTAATACAAGTACTGCTTGACAGATATTTGTAATTTCTTCAAAAACAGATGTAAAACACTTTAAGACTCTAAAAGAAAAAGTACCAGTACATAGTTAGTTTAATAAATTTAAGCAAAAAGGGGAAGCTGTATTTAGACAATATATTTTTCAGACCTAGGGCACTCAAGATTTAACAACCAGACCTTGGTTTTAGGATATAACTGGTTAGCAGTTTGGTTTACATTAAGCAATAGGTTTTTTTTTTTTTTTTCTTTCAATTCAACTGAAATATGATGGTTGGCAAGTGGGAGCTGGCATTTACAACAAATGATATAGTCAAAATACCTGGTATTCCTTGCTTAACCAACATCTGAATCAATAGAGATGGCATATCAGCAATGAAATATAAAATATGGGAACCTTTTAAAGGCATGTCAGCTGTTAAAGTGCAATAGTGATATAATCTACCCTAGAGAAAATAAAGTTAATTAACTATAAAACTAATATGAACTGAGAATACACTCATGCTCAAATTTCTAGAATTGTGAATCCAATCCTATATAACTCAAGAGGGTTACAGTCTCAAAACTCTAATTTTCCTAATAAAATTAATGCACCATGTTGTATGACTAGAAAAGGGATCATTACCAAGTTTGGGAGGCAAGAAATCATGACTTGAACCCATCAAAAACAAGCTTGCTATTTCAAAGTATATAAAAAAGCTAATGTATTTTAATCTTAAATATTGCACATTAACAATGACCTAAAATATCTAACTAAAAAGGAATTTTGCACTAAATATATGAATAAAATGCCAAGCGAACTTTCAGACATTTGCTGAGCTGCACCTATTCTTGCTCCTGTTGGAAATGAATCCCGATGGGCTTTCCGCCCAGAACCTTGCCATTTACGTAAGTAAGCATTTCCCAGTTCATTACATGAAATCCCTCGTTTTAGACATAACATAAGGTGCGTGGGGCCATTACAGATAATGTAGTTCAGAAATAATGAGACCTCAATGACACTTTACCTAGGAAAAATTCAGTTATAGAGAAATAATTCTGCAGATATAAAATGTAAACAGTTAACACACACCTGTCAGGAGCAGCACCATTCTTACACTATTCAACGTCCACATTGCGTGTTATATATTGGAAATCAGGTATAAAAAATGAAAGACTCAGACTAAGTAACCACCATTTATGCCTGCTCTGCTCGATGTGAAGAAACAGTCCTTAGAAAATGATATCCTATATATGGCTGTGTGCTACTATTTTCAGATGAACGGTATATTGCTCATTTGATACGTCACCTACACAAATCTAAGTAGGCTTTGAAACCTCCTGACAGCTGATATAAATGACTATACTACAGGCAGAATCAAATGGCCAGAAACACCATGAGAACTGGTGCTCAACTGACTAACCCTCCAATAGTTTTGAAACCAGAAAGGTCTAAGGGACAAGGCTGAAGAAAATGTGGAGCCAGACTTTAGACCACTGCTAGGACCTATAGCCTGAGACTAACTCAGTGTGTACAAAAACAGGCTCATAGCTAGTATAAGTGAACCATCTGTTTATTTGCATTGAAATGTATTATTCATGAAGTATCCTCTTGACTTTATGTGATCATAGCTTTGAGCATGCCACAAATTTTCAGAATACACTATATTCCTTGACTTTTTGTTGGGTGGGTGGGGAGAAAAGAAGGTGGTGGTACACTCCTGGCACTTGAAAGACACGCTCTCAGTTATTCTGCCATTTAGATGATGGGGCTTTTGCCAAAATTCAGGTAGGATTGCCTACCCATTGCTGTATCTAAATTAGGATTGGCTGGTAGCAAACAATGGAGGTCTCTTGCCACGTTCATCATTTACAGTAGTTATTCCTGAATATAACTGGCTACAGGTGATTTTCCCTCACTCCTCTGGGGTTATTTCATTGATAAGCATATAACCCTGAAGGATAGTATCATGAACAAAACATCTGAAATAAATTCTAATAAAAAAAACTATAAAAATCTTAAATAATTCATGATATAGGCAAGTCACCACATAATAGTTGCTTTGATAAACAAAATCTTACAAATTCAGTAAAAAAAAAATCAGCAGCATAGATAAAGCAAATATGCAAAAAATTTAAAACATGATAAAATAATTAGGTTTACATTATACAGTTAATTACAGCAAAAAATACAATACAGTTTTGTTGCTGTTTTAAAACACAACTTAGATTTTAAATTACATCACTTGAAAATAAAAAAAATAAACTACTTTACTACAAAATGAATTCTACATTTTTTTGAAAAATCACTCAAAAATAAGACCACTGAATTGTTTTCAAAGTAGTTCTATCAATGACTAACCGACTCCCCATCCCTCCCACCCCCCCAAGGCCCAAGTAGTCATCTACAGCAGCCCAGAGGTCCAGCTGATGCTTCTAGACTGCTGTCTGTATCTGAGGCCAAAGTCGGATCTGTTGACATTGAAGACACATCATTGACAGACGACGATGACGATGGATGCTGAGAGCCATTGATCACTGCTGCACCTGTGCTATGAGAAACAAAACAGCAAATCAGTTGCAGACAGAGTTGCAGACCGAGCTACTTGCATTGTACTACCTCCAGTGGTTGATATAATTTTTCTCTTAGGTTTAGAAGGCTCAATAAAGACAATCACAAATGATATTAAATATAACACTAACTTACAAATGTTGTTATATGCAAACTATGAGGTGGGAATTCTGAAAATGTCTAGAAACTTGGAGTCCTATCCTTTTTACTAACTTGTTTCTCAGTTTAATACAAGAACTTAGAGACCAGGTCACATTTAGAAATAGTTCTGTAGCAAGATCCATCAAGGAGGGCTTCAGGCTTGTATGTAAATAATACTGAAAATACATGTAAAATTCTCTATATTACATTTCGATGGAGAGAGAATCTCAAAGACCTGAGTGACTAAAAAAAGTTAAAAAACTACTGCCCTATAGAAAATTATTTATGATATTTTGTCACTAAAAAGACAGTCCAAATAATATTTTTGATACATTTTGTGGTAAAGCAAAACCCAACAAAAAGAATAAAATCATTTTAATCGGGAGGGACCTTAGTTCAACTGATCCAGTTTGCATGAGGTTATGTGACTTGACAGGGTAACTCAAGTGGTCTAGTTAGTAAACTCAGTCTTATTTCAATTCTAATAAATACTTGATAAATAAAATATGCATTTACAAACCAGATAAAGATTGGTGCAAACTGTTTCATTACTCCCAAGTAGTACCTAACAAGTATTTTCTGGATTTTAAAAAGTAATAGGAATACTTGACCTAGAGAGAGAAATCTTCTGAAGATGTTTGGACTGGTAAGGTGGAAGGTCTGACACCAGGGGTGGGGGGATGTGTTAATGGCAACTCATACTAGGTAAATAATTTTGAACCAAAGGATCAACTAAATAAGGGTCATTCCAAATCGGAATAAATTAAGTTACAGAAATATTATTAAGAACACATTTGTATAAAAGCAATGCTACCAGCTGAATGCAGTGGCATGCCTGTAATCCCAGCTGCTCAGGAGGCTAAAGCAGGAGGATCACAAGTTTGAGGCCAGCCTGGGAAACTTAGGAAGACTGTCTCAAAATAAAAACAAAAAGGGTTGGCGATCAAGCCCAGTCGTAAAGCACCCTGGGTTCAATCCCCAGTATCACAAAACAATGGTATCCGACCAAACACTGAGCAGAATTTATGAGGGTGAGGATCAGGTACCAAAAAATGCGGAAACCAAGCAGATTAAAAACCTCTACTCTTTGGCCCAGCATATTTCAGGGTTTGATTATGTCTAATGATGAGCAACAAACACTTAAATACGGAAGTTCTTCTGAAAGTTTGTCTTCAAATTTAACAAGGAAACAGGCAGGTAATAGAAAAAGACAAATCTTTATGGCAGTGGAGAAGGAAGTGAGAGATGGAAGGAATGGAACCATAGGGGCAGCACAGGTGGTCTGAGCTGAAATGTGAATGGCAAGCAGGATGTGAGGATGTGAGGCAAGAACAGGATGATAACCTCCTGGGTTCCAGAAAGGCCCATAGGGTTCCCAGCCAAAGCAGAGCTGAGATTGTATACTCTTTATAGTTCAATCAATTACAACATTACAGAATGTGCCTCTTCTGACAGAACAATATAGTATATAACTCTTATGTCTTACACAGCTAATTCTAAGACTTTTATCAAAACGTTCAAATCATAAAAAAGAATCCCAATATATATACTTTTTATATAGGCCTCTAGAGTTCAGGATCCCCTTCATTTTAACCAAATTTCTGAACCCGATAAACATGAACTTTTAAGTGTATCACTTAACTAACTTGTTAATCTGAAAATCAAATACCTAAGAAAAAAGACTTGTTTTCTCTGAAATTTAAAGCCATACAACAAATTCTCAAATATCGGTGTGGCAATATTATGGAAACTCTTCAATCTCAGATAATTGAGTGACTTCCTTCTCAGACAAGTCTCTATACACTCAAGACAGGCAAACTCATTTTCATTATCAACCAAATTGAAACATTTATAGGTAGGCAATACACTGGGAAAAATAATATTATTCATTTTAAAGAACAAGTGGAAATGGTTTTGTAATTATCTGACACTTTCTGGTTTTGTACATAATCAAAACCTGAATATTTTTATTATAGTCTAATTTACTGAAATTCTTCATTGCAAGCCATGAGATGAGAATCCAGAAAATGTCTAGAAGCCTCAAGTTTTATCTTTTCTACTTATTTTGTGACCATAAGCAAATGATATCCAAGATTCAAACTATTCACTTATTAATTAAGAAGAAAAAAAATTTTCTATCTCATGAGATAGAATACATGACATTTAAGATGTGCCACTTACCATGATGGTATGCCAAAGTATAAAACTGAGCCAAGTAAAAACTTTCCAAATTCCACCGAGCCTCCATCACAAATAATTCACTTCACTACCACTATGTTAGCAATACAAAACTAAATAAGAACTATACCATCCAAGCTTTTAATTTGTTATGAGTAAATTTTACCCAAACAGATAAAAGCTGTCAGAACCAATTTATACTTTCTTTTTTTTTTTTTTCCAATTTATACTTTCAACAGGATCTATATTATAGATTTGGAAGACTGCATTCCTGATAAAGGACCTAAAATACATAGTTCTAATAAAATATAACCAAAAATGTCAAAGGAGGCTACCAAAATTATTTAAACAATTATGTTTATAGTACAACAAAACGGGCTTCTGAAACTACAGCTAAAAATCTTACCTATAAATAAAGTGCTAGATATGATACACTTTTTTCCTTAGAACACTAAATCCTTAGACCATTTATTTAATCCTTAGAAGAATTAAAATGGCATAGTTTTACTCAAAATCAAACCTATCTAAAGAAATACTACTCAGCCTTTGAAGCTCAGATCAAATTTTACCTCTTCCATATAACTGTCCTAACCTCTGCTTCGAGGGGCAATACATTCAGAAATTATTTCATTATCTTCTACCTAATAGATTTTGAAACTTTTTCCCCCTAAAATAATAGCTTCCTCATCTATAGAATGTGTATAATAATCTCTCAGAGTCTGAGGGATGAATGAAATAAAGAATATGAACCACCAGTGTCTAGTTATTATGTTGTGTGCTTAACATGTACGTTTCCTGACATTTAACCTTTTCCTTCATTTCTTTATACTTTTACATAAACCAAAATTAAATTAAGACTAACTTACAATAAAAGAAAATGTTTTAACTCCTATAAACTAGTTTTCTTCATAGAGTGAATGCTTTCTAGTGGTGGTCTTAATGGCACTGCTTTAATTCAACAAATCAATTTATCCAAAGCAAAGACTGTTAAAACTATATAAAGGTAAACATATTGAATTTTGAAAAATTTCTCCTTTAAATACAAGGCAACAATGCCAACAAAAAAGGCCTTAAGTTCTTCAATAGAATGTCAGTATCAGAGAAAAAGATAAGCACTTTATGAAGTCAGTTACTGATTATATCAGTACATTGTATCAGGACAACAGTATATTGATATTTCAAATTTAAGCACCCCAATTGTAATTTGAATAAGGTAGTAAGTATGGAAAGAACTGCAGGTTTCAGGCCACTGAAGATTACAATGCAAGAAGTAAAATGACTCTCAACCATATTTATATTGTAACCAACCTAAAGGAGAGGGCTGCCCTCGTATAACTCCATTCTTGGTTCTCTCCTCCAAGTCCATCACTTCTTTGTATATCAATTCTGAAAAAGATGGAAAAAATAAACTTCAAAGTCTGAGAGCCAATCTCACAATATACATTATGTTTTAATTCAAAATTTTTATACACATTAAGTGTAAAATATATTTAACAATATTTCAAATATTATCTTTATAGTGACAGAGGGACCATGTCAGCCTGAGATTCATGGGTGTTAATAACGGTTTCTTGATTTTCAACCACAAATTATATTCAAAGAAAGTAAAAACCTCTGCAGTAACCTGTAATTAATGTTTTGCAAGTTGGTTTAAGGACAGAACTGAGGTCAGAAGTTTTATCTTTTTTCTCTGCCAACACCTAATACTACACTGTTACCACATCACCCAGCATTCTGTACTAAAGATACTTATTTACTTCTGCCTCAGTGAGTGCTTGAATTAAGTGTTTCTCTTGTTAAATTCTACTTCATGAGCTCTGGAATAGTGTGTGGTACAATGGAGGTACTCAACCATATACTCATTGTAAAGAATCTAGACATTTCTTTAATTAGAGTGGAATATAAACAAAATTTTATTTAAAAACAAAAAGCAGGTACACTTCAACTCCTTATGTGTAGTGCCAGCATGACATGCTATCACTGCCAAGAACATTCCTCCATAGGAATCTTGTTCTTTTTCTAGGCATGGGGATAAGATGTAGACCACTGTGAGAATGGCTTTAGCTGAAGAGGCACAAGGTGCTATCTGATGTGTATGTTCCTTGTACCCCATTTTCTTCTAAGTGATGCTGAGTGCAGTTTGAGTCTGAACATCTACTTAAGAATAACCTCTGGTAAATGCTCTACCACCATTAGTCATTATCCTTGGTTTATAGAATCTTGAGAATTATTTAAAAGCAATGAAACTTCTTCTGAGAAAAATGTACAAGACAAAAATGATGCACGGAAATTCAAGAAGTCTATATAATTTCTGAAGTTTAAATTTCTTATAAAGAATCTCTGACTACAGGATATGACAATATTTATGTTGGCAAAAGATAAAGTAAGTGGAGATACTGGAATGAAGCTAGAGATATCTATCTTTGCTTGCTATGGTAACCTTGGACTTTGAAGAAGAAAAATACAAAGTCTTGATAGACTTTTTTTTTGTTGTTTGTTTGTTTGTTTTAAGAAACAAAAGGAATAATAAACATCTCTCTTTCTTTCTTTAAGATAAAAAGCACTTGTTTGTGAAAAGGGATTCAGACAGAAGAAACAAAGCCAATAAGAAGTACTAATAAGGCAAAGCTATCTATAGTAAATGGCTTTGGCAGTGGATTTTTCTATCTGCCTTTGACAGCTTAAACTCTAATGCAGACATTGAAAAGGGCAGTTTGTATATAACTACAGAAGTGTATGTGGGGCTAGAGAAAAAGACTCACAATAAAGTTAAACATTTTAGCATAATGGAAAGACCACAATATATCATTACACTGTAAATGAAAATTCTTTATTCCATGCCTTTAAGATGTGTTTCTTTTCCAATTTAATATCTCTGAAATTGGTTACATTTTAAAATCAGTGGTATAGTACAACTGGAAGTGTTTCCTGACATAATTCTATGAAATACCATAAATGTCTATTATAAATTAATGGGATATAAAAATATCAGGTGAATATTTTAATAACTATTTGGGTCCAGAGTTATATACTTGTATATTACTTAGTACATATTCAGATGCACTAGGCTGTACTTAAGTCTATCATTCTGTTGTGCTCTGTTAACCATGAGTCTCCTAAGCTCAACTCAGAGAAAATAAGTATCAAATCCAATCTTTCCAAAATAAATTTACAGATAGGGTTATACCTCCCTATTTTCTTTTGCCCAAGATACTTAGTTAGCTCTTTGTAACAGATCTTCTGCCTCCATTTTAAGGTAAATAAAAAAGGGGGTGTCAAGAGATTTGCTCAAAAGTCACACAGCTACAAAAATGGTCAAACACTAAATGACAACAACACAGATAGAGGTAAACACGATCTAAAAGTTACCTAGCCCAAATGTCCCAAAAGAGCTTTAAAAAATATATATTTTAACATTTCCATGACTATTGAAGTATTAATGTTCTATTGCATTAATAAGGTAGACTAAAACTACTACATTAGATGTGCAAAGACACTACCGTTAATTTCTCTGGAAAGGAATTTAGAAATAATTGAAAACAGCCTTTGGCTCAGCACATCTAGAACTGTTCTTATAGGCATGTTTTCATAAATACTGTGCATATGTGCACATGAATACAACAGAGCGAGCTGTCTGTAAGAGTAACAGACAAGACCTACTTTAAATGCTCTTCAAGAGGAAGTTGGACACAAAGATTGTGACACATGATTACTGAACAACATTTACCAGCTATTAAACCAAATGAAGCAGTTATGTGGACCAAGAGTCATCTTTAAGAGGTATAATCATATCAGCAAAGCAAATGTGCAGAGTTTAAAATCATTTGTGATTAAAAAATGATACAAATATGTACTAATGTACAAATGATTTTAAACACCTATAATCCCACTGGCTCAGGAGGCTTAGGCAGGAGGATAGCAAATTCAAAGCCAGCCTCAGCAAATTAGCAAGACTCTGTCTCAAAATAAAAAAAATAAAATAAAATAAAAAGAGCTGGGGGATGTAACTTAGTGGTAAAATGTACCTGTGTTCAATCCTGGTACCAAAAATAACAAACAAACAAACAAAAAAGCTTATCAGGGTGGAGACACTGAACACATTTGTATAAACAGACTACAGAAGAAAACACTAATGTGTTTGGGGTGGAGAACTTGGGAAATTAAGACTAAATCAGGTCAGGAAGGAGACTTACTTTACACTTTTGTAAAAAGAATAATCAAATTATTAAATATAAGTTATGAAAATGGAAAATATCATTAATTTCCTTAGGATAAAAAATAAATCACTACAAAATGCCAGATACTTTCTTATTTTTCTAAGAATCTAATGAACATTACCTTTCCACTCTTCTATTGTGTGTTCCCTTTCATCTAACTGCTTATCAGGGATCTTTGGTGGTGGCTGAAAAATAAAAAGTGATAATTAATAACTGAGTCAGTTTACTGGGAGTATATGCTTCTTTATAATTACTTGAAACATTAGTCAAACAGAAGACTTGAAAAATGCAAGACTGACTGATCATCAACAAACTTCTCATGTAAACTAGTTCTGGAAGACTCCTGCAAGGCAGGAAGAAATATTTATCTTTTTCTTCTAGCTTCTGAAATTTTCACATTTTATTTATATCATAGAATTGGGATATGATTATTTGTTTTATAACTAAGTTAGGATGTTCCACAGAGCACTCCCCATCCTAGCTCCTCTGATCAGGTGGCAAGGCCAGAAAGTGAGACACACAGAGGGAGGCAACTTTACTTTTGTGTAGGAGATGCCTGGGGAATGCCCATTAGCTTAAGGTAATCTTCATGCAAACACAGAAAAGCACTATCATCTGTCTATATTTTCAAAAGTTTCCTCCAAACCTAACTAATTCTGACTCTAAGAATGCACTCTGTTCTTCAAACATGGAGAAAAAAAAACTTACAGCTTCTGCTTCAGAAGGATCATACCAGACATTGATGTATGGATGCTGAAGAGCTTCATCTACAGAGATCCTTTTAGATGCATCTATGACCAGCATTTTGGATAACAAATCCCTTGCCTGACTGGCTGTAAAAATAATGATGTTAATGTGTACCTATTTGTAAAGATTCCTAAATTATCACTGATTCCACAAACTTGAGAGTGTCATTTAAGAAGCACGTTTTTAAAAGTATAGTTTTTAACTTTAAAACCAGATCATACATATAATAAACAGTATAAGATTAAAGATAAAAATAACCAAAATTTCATTTTGTTTCTCCACCCAGAGATAATCTTTGATTGTATCCCATAAGAATATGAATACACAAATGCACACACAAATGGAATTTGATGTATATGTTTATAAAAATTACCTTTAAGTTTGTTGTGTTCTGAGTCAGCTGGGAAAAGTACATCAGGGAAGAGTTTCTCAAAGCTATATCCAGCATATTTAGGTCTGTTTTCAACATAAGTCCTTACTGTTGGTTGTAGTTTCTTCATAAATTCAGGACACGGTGTTCCAAGCTGTTCAATAACTTTATTCCACTGATCAATATCTAATATCAAGTAGCTAAGAAAAATACTGCTTCTAATATTCAACACATTAGTCAATATTCATATTAAAATACAAAATGGAAATTTAAAAAATTTTATAAAAAGAATGTGGCAGTTATAAATTTCATATATCTCACAGCCACCTTGCAAAGGGCAATGATTATAGGTGGACAGAAATGAGCAATAAATAAGTTGTTAACCTTATTTATTGTGTGTGTGTGCACATGTATGTATATATGAATACTAATTTCACCCCCAAAATGGAAGTTTAAACTCACAAATTCTAAGTTATAAATAAATATAAATGTACAGTATTATCATTACTACTCATAGACTCTCTAAATGCAAACTGTACATAATCCTAATATATAGAATCTGCCTTTTCTTCCAGCTTATCAGAAAATGTGAATGTATTTCCTAAAGGATAATCTGTTCTGTTTTTTTTTTTTTTTTGAGTTTTCTAAATTAACAGAAAATAAACAGAAATAAAAATGACTTTTTATGAAAGTGCATTTTATTTTGCTATTTTTTGTTTAGCTTACATTTTTTTTAATGCTCTGAAGTGTATAAAAAAGATTCAGTATTTCAGTAAGTTTTAAGATTAGAATTCCCTGATCTTATTCCTCCTAGTGTTTATACTCTAAGCCTAAAACTCTTTACTGTAACCTGGTGAATATTTCCATTCCTTTTCTTGAAACAATTACTTGTTGATAAATACATCCCTACTGATGTAAACACTAAAAGTAGTCAGATGGGAAAAAAAAGCATGAATGTAAATCTTATAATCACCACATAAAACTACTATTGCTCAAATTCTCACATGAAAGAATCAGTATGTTATGTTGAGTAATGAGAACAATCAAGACACAAAACACACAAAACATTAACAAAAAGGCAGTGAGGGGACAAAACAAAAGGATGGCCAGCAGCAACAGAAAATTTCAAAGCTCAAAGTAATTCTTAAGTATTTCTAGACTTACTCAAGTGTATAAATTATTATAAATTTTTAATGCAAGCCATGATTTTTTAAATGTAGGTTAAATAAATCAACTCAAAGCCAGCAAGTAACTGTGGATAATTACACTTGAGGACTTTTCAGAATTAACATATGAAAACAATAAATGAGGGAAAAGAAAGTCTATGTCAATAGCAGGTGGTATTTTGAAAGAGTAATTTAGCAATACTTGATATTAGGGAGAGACAAAATACATTATACCTGAAGGAGCTGAAGTACTGTCATACATTTTGACCTTTAGAAACTATATTTTAGGCCAAAGATAAGGATACGATCTGTACCTGGGAACAAAACACCACCTTTGATCATTTCTCCCATGATGCACCCAACTGACCAAATGTCAACTGAAAACAAAATGCAATGACATTAACATAAAGATTTTGGTTAAAATAAAAAGAAATATATAAACAGTAAAAAAAAATCACGCACACCATGTATACTTTAAAATCATAAAAAGCATATAAAATAAAAATGAGTGACAGTGAATGTGCTCTGACTACCAGCAGAGACTGTATGTCCTACTGCCAAATGCAGCCTACAAATATTTCAGCTTCTTATCTGAACAATTTTTTGAACTATAACAGTCACAAAGTTTATGTCTGTTTTTAAAAAAACCTGTATGTATGAATGCAGCATATTCATTTTCATTAAAGAACATAAGGAAGTTCATCACCTAACTAATAATTTGCTGCAGCAGCACAAGGATACAGTCCCTTCCTGGAAAGAGGATTTTGTGGCAAACCATTTCTCCCATAATGCACCCCACAGACCATAAATCCACTATGTTTGCAGCACAAAAGAAGGAAAAGCAAAGCAAAAGGTCATTAAAATCAAAGAAGCAGAATATGATTGCATTATATAAAAACTGCAAAATATTACAAAAAAGAAAAAGTGATTTTAATTTCAGCTAATGAAATAATTTCAAAAACAAAATACTTTGTGAAAAGCTTGGTTCACAAAAGAAAACAAATTGTGGCATTTTAACTACATATCTAATTTTAAAGTGAGAGCTATGCACAGAAATAGTATAAAACCTGTATATTTCGTAACTGAGAATTTGTTTATAAAATATAAGAGAATCAAACACAAACTATAAATAAGGCTAAAATGTACCTAAAATAGTAAAATTATGATATTATACATTATTTTGAAGCTCAACTGTGCATTACACTCTTTCTTTAAAAGTTAAAAGAAAAAGCATGAGCAGCGTAATTTATCTTATTAAAATATTTAATAGAAAAATGTCTCTGAATAATTACAAAAAATTAATGTAAAGCTCTACAGAAAATTTCAAACCAGAGTTCATAAATTTATTTATTTAATAAGTGGTATGTTTACTCTGAATTTAAAGTCAATTATTTTCTTGGCAACATCATTCTACATTTATTCTATTATCCCTAAAGGAACAAGTACATACAGAATGAAGAAAACAGAGTAAAGAAAAGCATACTTCTTATGTTTTCTACATAAGGTTTTTCAAATTCATAAAACCAAACTGCTTGGATTTAAGAAATTAGTTTTGGTAGGATATAGTATGAAAGTTCTTATTGCAGAGTTTCCTAGCACTTACCCTTGCCAACTTGAAAAGGGAGCCCTAATCAAGATGCTGCAAACAATCTGCTAGACAGAAAGAGGCAATTTTGGGATTTCCACCCATTTATTAAAACTAACCGCATACTGTAACATTTTATACCTTTGGGTCTGAATATCAGATAAAAGGAGAAAGAGTAGGTACTTGAAGTTTAATAGAAGAGGGAAAGAATGAGCAATTTAAAAGGAAAAGGCTTAGAAACTTAGATTTGGGTCTTGAAGTTTGAAGGCCCACATTCTTTAAGAGCAGAAGAAGAAACGGGCAGGACTAGATTTAAGAGAGATGTGTTCTTCATCCATGTTGCAGGATTTAGGAAATTTAAGTCTATACTTTCAAGCACATTCTTATAAGGAGACCATCAATTCACCGAAGTATGTTAGGAAATAAACGGGGAATAATTTTTGGTACTAAAGTTTCTCTAAAATTTCACATTAATGTATGCAAACCTTTTTATATTTCTAGTATGACTCAACTTTTGAGGATAAAATTTTAGAGGAACACCTGTAATCCCAGCAGCTCAGGAGGCTGAGCAAGGAAGATCTCGAGTTCAAAGCCAGCCTCAGCAAAAGTGAGGCTCTAAGCAACTCAGTAAGACCCTGTCTCTAAATAAAATACAAAATAGGGCTGAGGATGTGACTCAGTGGCCAAGTATCCCTGAGTTTAATCCCCAGTACCAAAAAAAAAATTTTTTTACAGGAAAAGTTAACATTGATAAATCAATTGATCAGAGAACAAATTTTTAAGGGTTTTCATTTTTGCCCAAAATCTGTAAGAATAAATCTTCTCCATAGACTTTACAGAAAAGAGGAAAGTAGCTAAATAACAAGGATGAAACTGATGTGGAAAACCTTCAGAAAAACAGTTTTAAACACAAAGATCTTAAAAGCTACTAGTATCAGAGAAGATATTGAGTCAGTGAAGAAACTAAGGCTTAAGTTTAGTTTTATAATTTGTACATAAAACTGAGCTGTGTTTAACTGCTTACTATTAGGCACTTTAAAATATACTTGATTATCCTACACTTTCCAAAACAGTCTGAAGTAGCCTGCAATAAAATACAGATAAAACAAAGTTGTTAAACTGGGGAGGGGTAGTCATTAAAAGAAAGAAATATTTATGTTAATCTTTGCAGGCTACTGTAGTTACCATAAGGAAGTATTACACTTGACTCAGTTTTCTGGGGAAGGGTGGGGATGCAATAAGATGATCTACATAATTCTTATGAGAGAAGAGTATTTCAACTCTTTTCTCTTCATGATAATTTCTGGTTGGGAGCTGCCCCAGGACCCTCACTGACATATTACACAATATCTATGATAACCAATAATTTCACTGCAAATGCAGAAGCAATCTTCATCCTGGTACTGAAGTTATCAATACCCAAACAAAACTTCAACTTTTAGGTAGAAAGTAAGAAAACAAAATAGCATGCTTACTTCAGAATAAAAGATTAACAGTCACTGTTTAAAATATTTACTTTGAGCTCACATACACCAAAAAGGAAATTAAGCTAAAATCCTAATTTCTGTCTTTAAAAAAATTTTTTTTTGGTACTGGGATTGAACCCAGGGGTGCTTTACAACTGGCCTGCATTCCCAGTCCTTTTTATTTTTTGAGACAAGTTCTTGTCAAATTGCTGAGGCTTGCCTCAAACTTGCAATCCTCCTGCCTCAGCCTCCCGAATTGCTGCAATTATAGGCATGTACCACCAAACCTGGCTTAAAATTCTAATTTCGTAGGTATCTTTTGTAAATAAATAAATAAATATATAATAATAATAATAATCTTGAAAACTGACTAATAGCTGCCTGAATCAAAGTGAACTACTGTTCCAGTTTTTTCACAGGAGTATTTTGGATGAAATTACCACACTTAGAAAGTTATAGTTTAATTCACTATACATACACAAAATACTATATGCCTTTTCCTTAAGATTAGACACAAGGCTTTGATGAAACATTATTGTTTCCTCCAAGAGATTCTTAATTATTCATCAGTTTTGCATAATGGCATTATTGTAGTTCTCAAAGTTTACACTAAATGCTCTGCTATTAACTTTGATTTCCTGGAATTGGAAATAAGAGCAAACCTTACTAATGGGCACTGAAATTACTAGTAAGATTGAATTCTGAGGTACACTATATACTTCCTCGTATATAGAAGTATTTGCTCATTTTCAAGCTATGGACAAGCAAAAAGCATACACATAGTTCTTTTTTCAGAGGCTAAGACAATTCTTTATCCAGTGGGAGTGCTGATGATTTAAGTATTAGCATTTTAGACTAACAAGGCCCCCATGTTTTCCCATTTATGATAAAACTTATAATAGTTATTTTCAAACTTGATACACATTTCAAACAGTGATACACATTTAATTCCATGCAATTTAACTTAAATATTTACCTAAAAAACCTAATAAACATCAATAACAAAAAACTAAATTTGAAGAGTATTTCAAATAAAAAGTGTGTGCTGACCGTTTTCCTTGTAGCCCATGCCTAGGATGACCTCAGGTGCTCTGTAGTATCGAGTCACTACGTAAGGTGTCATCATAAAACTTGTTCCTGCAGTTCTAGCCAGTCCAAAGTCAAGAATCTTCAAAGTGCAATCTGATTTTACTACTATATTACTGGGCTTTAAATCCTTCAAAACATAAAAATAAGAAATGATTGCTAAGATATATACAAAGATTCTGCAGTTCATAATTAAGCTTTCAATTCATGTTAACTGTTCATTCTTCTTAATTATAATATTACTGCACAGTTTCATCATAAAAAAGCAAACCTGAGAAGTCAGCTTAAAATTTACTTGTAAATTTAAAAATTTATAGTTTTTAGAAAGATTAGTAATTATTAGTCATTAGAAGAAGCTAGTATAATTTTATAATTTCTAGAAATTATTTTTAATTATTATTAGCTAGAAATTTTTAATCAAATAAGATTAAGAGATCTGGAAAGGCATCTTAAAGCTCAAACAAGAACTACTATGGTAAAACAAAGTCATATTAGTATTATATTCGTTTTGCATACTAACTTACCAGTTTTTTGACCCACAAAATTTTGAAATGAGTAACAAATATACCACTCATGGTAACTTTGAAATAATTCTTAAGCTTTTAGAAGCCCATTCTTTTGACAAAAGCAACAAGTGAATGATTAGACAGTCTGAAACTACTTTTAAATTCACTATGAAAATGGCATCAACTTTGTTGGAAAGTTACTTCTCAATGTTCAACTGAACAAAATATTACACATATAATTGATGTGTGTTATAAGAAATGCATTCATGAAAGTATTTTCTAGAACTAGGTTGTCACTTTATTTTGAGGGATGCACTATATTTCAAATTATCAATGTTGGAAAATAGCTGTCTAATAAATAGAGCACTGGGACAATGTATATTGCATAGTAATGTGCAGCCTGGCCACAGAAAAGGTAATACATGCTCTCTGAACATGGAAATTCATCTTTGCCCCTTGCTACCTTGCCTTGAGCTCTAGCAGGCAGACCCCTAAGAACCATGTCAATAGGGTTATGTTTTCCTTCCTTGTTTTCTGCTGGACCTGTCCAATGCATCGTCAGAAATGTGAAGAGAGGGGGCAGGGGTTGTGGCTCAGTGGTAGAGCACTTGCCTAACATGTGTGAGATCCTGGGTTCGATCCTCAGCACCACATATAAATAAACAAAGTTAAAAATCCATTGGCAACTAAAAAATATTAAAAAAAAAAAAAGAAAAGAAAAGAAATGAGAAGAGAGGTCAAGGTATTTATTCTCTGTGATCCTTATGGCATATGCTACAAACTGGCTAAGACAGAATACCCACCCAGAGCCATACTTCTGCTGCTTCAGGACTTGCTGGTTTTGCTAGCAGCTGAAAATAATGAGGGGGTCAATAACTAACCTTCTGTTGGTCATTTTTGAGTGTTTTACCTTATTTGGTTAGTTCCCATAATTTCGTCTATCCCTTCACCTTAAAAAGATCCTTCTTTACACTCCCTTCAAATACATGTTTAATATGCCATTTTTTCCTGCTGAGGCCCTGTCTAATATATTGCCATTGAGAAACAGTCTCATAGCAAGCCATATATATAGGTGTGCATTTATATACATTTACACACATACACACAAACACATACATGGACTACATACAAACACACACATGTATGTACATACATATAATATTTTATATACATGTAAACAACATTTTACACCTAATGCAGAGTACAAATAATATATAGTTGGATATTTTTAGTTATTTACTCAAAATCCTTTTGTTCCTTGGCAGTCAGATAGTTCTACAAATGCTTGAAGTGGTAGAGAATCCACAATCATGCTATTTTTCCCACAATCTCTTTGTTGTTATAACTTGTTGGTACACCTTTGAAATATTGGATTCTAAGCTACAGGTATCATGAAGGAAAACAGACTACACAAGTGTCCTTGGAAATCAACAATGTTGATACAAACACAAGTTAAAGGGTCGCATTATTACAGATTTGATATAAATTCTCACCATAAAATGGTTAGATAATAAATGTGTCTTTGTTGGAATGAACTAAACCACTTGGCAAAGTTGGATGGAAAAAAGAGTACAGCCAATGTGCCTTACATGAACAGTAGCTGGTACCTTTAACAATTTCAGTGATGGCGTGGATAAACATGATTGTCTAGTTTCCAAATAATATACTTGAGGTTAAAAAAAAATGGGTATTTGTTGACTTGAATAATACGTATTGTAAATGCACAAATTATTCACAAATTTGCAGGTAAAGACAGGAAAAGATCTCATTGATTTGTTGGATTTCATTTTTTTTTTTTTTTGTTGGATTTCAAACAAGACATCTGCTTAGCATACCTTAATGAATGAGAACCCATCAGGAAGAAGAAAGCCTGATGTTCCCAGAACTATTGTCCAAGATATCAGATTTTGTGAGAAGCCATACCATTCCCAAACAGCAAGGGGGGAAAAAAAAAAGCCATGTTGGGGGAAATTGGCAACTTGTCAAAAATGAAAACTGCAGGGACACACCTATTATTCCAGAGACTTGAGAGGCTGAGGCCAGAGGATCACAAGTTTGAGGCCAGCCTGGGCAGTGAGGCTCTATCTCAAAATAAAACATTTAAAAGGTGGGGGGAGTCTGGGGATGTAGTCTGGGGAAAAAGCATTTGACAAAATACAGCATCCATTCATGCTCAAAACACTAGAAAAACTAGGGATAGTAGAAACAAACTTCAATATTGTAAAAGCTATATATGCTAAACCTAAGGCCAATATCATTCTAAATGAAGAAAAATAGAAAGCATTCCCTCTAAGAACTTGAACAAGACAAGGATGCCCTCTTTTACCACTTCTATTCAACATCATCCTTGAAAACTCCAGCCAGAGCAATTAAACAGAACAAAGAAATTAAAGGGATATGAATAGGAAAACAGGAACTCAAATTATCACTATTGGCTGAGGACATATAGAAGATCCAAAATTTTCCACCAGAAAATTTTAGAACTAATAAATGAATTCAGCAAAGTAGCAGGATATAAAATTAACACCCATAAATGAAATACATCAGTGGTGAATCCACTGAAAGAGAACACAGGAAAACCACCTCATTCATAATTTTAAGTCTCAAAAAACTAAAATATTTGGAAATCAATCTAACAAAAGAGGTAAAAGACCTATATAATGAAAACTACAGAACACTAAAAAAAGAAATTGAATTAACCTTAGAAGATGGAAAGCTCTCCCATGCTCTTGGATTGGCAGAATTAAGATTGTCAAAATGGACATAATACCAAAAGTGTTACACAAACTTAATATAATCCCCTATTCAAACCCCAATGACATTCTTCATAGAAACAGTAAAAGCAATCATAAAATTCATTTGGAAAACTGAGACCCAGAATAGCCAAAGCAATCCTTAGCAAGAAAAGTGAAGCAGGAAACATCACAATATCAGACTTTAAATTATAACTACAGAAGAATAGTAACAAAAATGGGATGGTATTGGCATCAAAATCAGACATGTAGATCAATAGTACAGAATAGAGGACACAGAGACAGACCCACATAAGTACAGTTATCTCATCCTAGACAAGGGCACCAAAAACATACATTGGATAGCTTCTTCAACAAATAGTGCTGTGAGAACTAGAAATCCATATTAGCAAAATGAAATTAGATCCCTGTCTCTCATCTTGCACAAAACTCAAAGTGGATCAAGGACTTAAGACACTAGAACAGAGACCCTGCATTTAATAGAAAAAAAACTAGGCCCAGATATTCATAATGTCAGCTTAGGAACTGATTTTCTTAACAAGGCCCCTAAAGCACAAAAAGTAAAATCAAGAATCAATAAATGGGATGGGATTCAAACTAAAAAGCTTCTTCTCAGCGAAGGAAAGACTCAATAATGTGAAGAGAGAGCCTACAGAATGGGAGAAAATCTTTAACACACACACTTCAGATCAAGCACTAATCTCCAAGATATATTTAAAAAACTTGAAAACTTAACACCAAAAAGAAAAAAAAATAATCAATAAATGGACTAAGGAACTGAACAGACTTCACAGAAGAAATAAAATCTATCAACAAAAATAAGAAAAAATGTTCATCATCCCTAGAGATTAGAGAAATTCAAATCAAAACTATTCCAAGATTTTATCTCACTCCAGTCAAAATGGCAATTATCAAGAATAAAAGCAACAGTAAGTACTGGCAAGGATGTGGGGGGAAAAGGCACACACATACATTGCTGGTGGGACTGTAAATTGGTATAACCACTATGGAAAGCAGTATGGCGACTCCTTAGAAAACTTGAAATACAACCACTATTTGACCCAGTTATCCTACTTATTATATATCCAAAGGATTTAAAATCAGCATACTGCATTGACACAGCCACATCAATGTTTATAGCAGCTCAATTCACGATAGCTAAACTATAAACCAACCTCAGTGCCCTTCAATGAATGGCATAAATAAATGGGTAAAGAAAATGTGGTGTGTGTGTGTGTGTACACACACACACACACACACACACACACTGGAATATTACTCAGCCATAAAGAAGAATGAAATTATGGCATTTGTCAGTAAATGGATGAAGCTGCAGAATTTTATGCCAAGTGAAATAAGCTAATCCCTAAGAACTAAAGGCTAAACGTTTTCTCTGATATGCAGATGATAATTTACGATAAAGGGGAGGGCTAGTGAAGAATAGAGGAACTCTGGATTAGACAGAAGGGAGGGAAAGGGGTAGGAAGAATAGTAGAATGAATGACATTATTAACCAATGTGCATATATGATTATACAATCGGTGTACTTCTATAACATACACAATCAGAAGAATGAGAAGTTATACTCACTTCATTTATGTATGATGTTTCAAAATACATTCTATTGTCTATATAATTAATTAGAACAAATTAAAAAAAATCATTTCTTTGTATATTACATAACAAGTGTCCAATGTCCTATTTGTGGGATGGCGCGCGCGCACGCACACGCACACACACACACACACACACACACACACATATACGTATTATATGAGATACTAGATGGGAATGGTGGTGCAGGCCTGTAATCCCAGCAGTGAGACCCTGCTTCAAAATGAATGAATGAATGAATAAATAAAAATAAAGAG